TCGCCTTGCGGTTACCATAACAGCTCACCACACTGAATTGACTTACCTAGTATCTATATTTCCATATCCCGCCCCATCAGGTCAAAGGTCTCCCGCTTAAGTTTGTTATTGTTTATGTCTACTGTCTATTAGATGAATTTACTTTCTTTTCTTTTTTATTTACCTTACTTGCTTTTATACTTTCCACGTCCTGATGACGATCCATCTCTATTGCCTACTCTAAACTCTATACGTGGCGTGGCGCTCTCATGCAGGCTGTCTATCACCATTTGATAAATACTCATATCCTTTGTTACCATCCCGCCCTCTGCGCTGGTTAGTTATCGATGATCTACGGAGTACCGTGTCTATATTTTTGGTCAACTTACCCCGTACCCGGTCAAGTATAAAAGGGGCTTTCCCCTACCCATTCTCGTTCATACACCTACATTGCAACTTACATCTACTTCCACCTGCCTACCCTACCCTACCCTTCAAGTCTATATACTTATCCGCCACCAAAATGCTGTTCATCAACGCCATTCTCGCCCTAGCCTCTGCCCTGACCGTCCTCTCTGCCCCTGGAGACTCCATCGTACGTGCACCACCGCCATTGCACTACCCTACATGACGAATCCATATTAACCATCTGCCAGGGAACAACCTCCCAGAAATGTAGTGGCGAAAATTACCGACCACTCATCGACAGCGAGTGCCAGCCATACGATAGCGACACGTACGGCCTCCATCTGCACACTTGACTCAGTTTAACACTCACTCACTAACACGATGACACAGCGGTATCAACGCGACTGTACCGATCTCCTGCAACTTTTATGCGTACGTTGAATATATTCTCACTCCGCTGATTACCTGGTTGGCTTGTTCTATGCTAACCACCAGACAGAACGATAAACTGCACCGATGTTGTTCTTCAAGATGACTGCGCGACTGTAGCGGAATTAGTTCCTCAAGGAGAAATGTACTTCAAGTGTGTTGCTGATGGCTCTTAGTAAGGGAGATGCCGTGTGTATGGAACGACATGACTGCCTGAGGGATTACTACGGGGTGGCGGGTATAGAGTATACGGTGACTAGTTAATGGACTCAATTTTTGGCTGCTGTCGTTGTATTTCATCATCTACCAAATGAAATCGCTCCAAGGTCCAGGGAAGTGTCTTAATCTCAAAATTAAGTCTCTGTCAGTTGCTAGTTACTGCATACGCCAATGCACGATTAGTGGAGCCAACTTATCTGGTTTATGCAGGTGTGCAATCTTGCATCTACGCCCGTATGTATATCTTGATATCAGGCACAGAAGCTTACGGAGTACGTAGGTATGCTCATGTTGACATCTAGACCGTCGAGTAACTCCGCGTTAGTGACAGGAACAACTATCAACAGCTCCCATACCAATCAGCAAGATGCAGCGATGTCTCTTCTGCACGCCAGACTTTGACACAGCCGTAATCCTGTCATTGTAGTTACACTGCAGGTCCCAAATTTGAGTCTGGGGAGGACAAAGATGCTCTTCCAGATCTGACCAAGGTACGTACAGGACATCTACAGAGGTATAAATACCTACCTCAGGGAGCACATTAAGCTTAGATATTAGTTCCCTCCGACAGAGATATCTACCTATTCTACTGCCTTCAATCATCCTTACACTACCTACCTACCACAAAAAACCCCAAGATGCGTTTCTTCACTGCTTCCCTGCTCCTGGCTGCCGCCGCCTTTGTGGCCGCTGATGAAGGAGACAAGATCGTATGTTGCTACCACCACATCGCTCCGGTCTGTTAACCAGCTAGTTATCTAACTTGGCAATGGTAAAGGGAACCATCCATACCGACGAGACCTGCACCTCTGAGGGAACCGATCTCATTGACGGCAAATGCACCCCTTCATCCGCAGGGTAAGGAAGATACCGAAAACAACAAGACCGGATCCTCAGTGATCCCGAGTGTATGGGACCAACTACCACTCCAAGTGGTCTTAAATTCGAGAAGGGATGCCCGTATGTTGCTGACCCTTTTGCCCACTGATACCAAGATCCATGATACTAACAGAGGTTGATCCTCAGTGATCCCGAGTGTAACCAAGAGGCCAACAAAGAGGTCAACAAAGAGGCCAACCAAGAGGCCAACAAAGAGGCCAACAAAGAGGTCAACAAAGAGGTCAACAAAGAGGCCAACCAAGAGGCCAACAAAGAGGTCAACAAAGAGGCCAACCAAGAGGCCAACAAAGAGGTCAACAAAGAGGTCAACAAAGAGGCCAACCAAGAGGCCAACAAAGAGGTCAACAAAGAGGTCAACAAGGAGGCCAACAAGGAGGCCAACAAAGAGGTCAATGGTCAGGTCGACGGTCAGGTTGACGGTCAGGCCAAAGGCATGTGAAGGGTTTTATCATTAGATAGACCTTGGGAGACATCACGGAGAGAATGGTTTATTCGCATAGTTATCTACCTAATTAATCCACATCTAATATATCTGACCGACGGGGAGCATCTTAATACTCTAAAATTGGATTGTTTTAAGTTTCAATGGAGTAGTTAAATCATGATTAACTTATTTATATGCGGGACCTGCAGGTGCATCCCCTAGCTCCTCTGTAGTGGTGTTGTAGTTATCGTTACACAGCAGCCAGCATCCAATTTTACCTTTCACCTTTGGGAAATATCATAGAGAAAACGATTTAATCACATAAATACCTAATTAATCTACATCGCAATCCGAGGTATGTACTTCACTATCTAGCCTTGTCGAGAGATATAAACAACATATATATTTTCCACCCAGCAGGGATTAGAGACAGGGGGTGGCAACAGCGGCGGATCGTCCTCATCCGATACAACTCGGCCAAAACGTCGGTTCCGGCGTAGTTATATGGAGTAGCTAAATTTTCACTACAGCATGTGCTGCGTCCGTACCTTATATCCTCCCATAGATTGCAATGGAATATCAATCTTTTTCAGGCATTCGATACCTTCTTACCCTCTCCCAGTCATCTTTATACCCTAATTACTTACTATCAGAATATTCACGATGCGCTTCTTCTTTGCTTCCCTGCTCCTGGCCACTGCTGGCAATTTACAAAGCGCTAATGCAGGAGCCAAAATCGTACTTTACCACCCCGAATAGTTACATAAACAAATATCTAACATGTAATTGGCAAAGGGAGCCACCTATAAGGGTCTAGGATGCACATCAGAAGCTAGAGATCTCCTCAATGGTGAATGTACACCTTCAACCCCTGGAGGGTAAGGAAGAATGCGGCAGACCAAGCCCCTGGATTGATTGAACCAAGCTAAACATTTCAACAGCTCCTTCAACTAGCCTACGGGCTCCGCTCTTTGCTGTTCATTCTCGTACGTTGACCGGATTGCCCACTGCCATCGAGGGGCAATGATACTAACAGCGGCTTAAACTGCAGGAATGACAACTGTGAGGGCACCCCTAACAATCCAAACGGCATTACGTATAAAAAGGGATGCCACTCTCAGGAAATGTTCATGATGGAAGGCCCCACGTTTCTCTGCTGGATCCTGCAGTAAATCCAGTTAGGATATGTAGGATGGGCCTTCATAGGATGATTAGACGATGCTATCTTTACATTTTCTTGAGGAATACATATAACTAGTTAATAGAAATAATGATAATATATGTACGGATTACCTTCTTGCGAACAGTGGCAGTTTATAGATAGCTGTGATGCCATACTTTGATATTCAGGCCCGTAGATGCAGAATAACTCTACCATCTTGTATAAAATCCAGGGACCATGGTGGCCGACAATAACCGATAACCTATCCTAATCAGTAAGGTAAAGATATATTGCTTCTTCTGCAGTCTAGATTTTGATATTTAAAATGATGATCATATCGCTTGTTACACTGCAGACCCCGGATTTGAGTCTTGGCCGGAAAAAGGAAGCTATCCGGACGTGTAGATACAAATGCCCATCAGCATTGACAGACATGTAGCAGGCTCAGGTTAGATGCTTGGTCTTTTCTGATACAGACAGCTCTTTACACTGCCTACCTACTACAAACTATTCACCACGTGTTTCTTCCTTGCTTCCCTACTCCTGGCTGCCGCCGCCTTGGCAGGTACTGACCAAGGTGATGGCTCTGTACGTTGATGTAGCTCTGGTCTGTTCAAGCTATAAATGGAAAACTTGCAAAAGGGAGCCTTCCATATCGATTATTAATGCGCTTCAGAGGGATTCGACCTTATTGACGGCAGATACACACCTTCAGCCCAAGGGTAGGCAAGACGTCGCATCGTTATAGAGTGGCTGGATCAAATCAACCAACATAATTCACCAATGGTTTTCTCGACTTGACCGCACGCTACTGTCCCTGCTATGTGCTCTAGTATGTTGAGCCGGTATTCCCTTGGTACTGAGGCCACGATTCTATCAGGATTTACTATCCAGGGACACGAGAATGTATGACAGACACTTCCACGCCAGATGGTATTCTGATGGAATGGAATGTTCGACAAATGGAACCATTTTGGGCGATGACACTCACATTCTTTTGCTATCACTAGGCTAAGCGAAATCTACTAGGATATACAGGGCTGAGTTTCATGGGATACTTAAACGTGGTATGCTTGTATATGGAGTATTACGATCCTGGAAGGTTCCATCGTTACATGGTCCCTGAGAAACATAAAGAACATACTTCCGTGCTTCATTGCGAGCCGAGACCGTCCAAGTATACCTCTGGAATCCAAGCTCATATATTCAGAGTAGAGACATCTAGCCATCATTTAAACATGAAAATACAAGCCAGAGCAGAGAGCATCCTGTGTCACTATTGTGGTAAGTGTATTCAAGTACGTGTAATGATGAATATGTTAGCAGCTATGATACACCGCATACCATTCAACCAAAAAAATTCTACAAATCGATGGCGTCGATCATCACTAACTAGTCGTTGCACCGCCTAACTGGTTAAAAGCTTGATTATTGATGTCACACTTGGCGTGAACTTGATAGATGCCTATGTTTGTTGGCATTATGGCATGTAGAGCGAGCTGCATATTGAGTAACTAACGATAAAACTTCGTAGTCCACTATGCTGTGTCATCTAGACCAGCGACTAAAGCAGGAACAATGTTGATCAGGTACTCCCGATTAACAAGATAAAGGTGATATCCCTTCTGCTGCCATCTAGGCCCCAATACAGTGTTAGTTTTATTATCAACTAGGTAACCAGTTACACTGCAGGCTTCGACCCTGAGTCTGGGCGGACAAAAGAGCTCTGCGACTATAACATCAGTTGTTCATAGATATATAAATACCCATCAACAGCAGCTCAGGTTTAATTATTATTCTTCGATATCATCATTCACAACATCCTTCAAACACTGTCTACCACAAACCATCCACAAACAAACTAAGAACCATGCGTTTCTCCTTCGTGTCCCTTATCCTGGCTTCCGCAGCCTTTGTGAGTGCTGCTAAAATGGGAGATATAATCGTATGTTACTACCGCTATATGACTCTAGTTTAGAAACCGAGCTATGAATAAATATCTAATATAAGATTAATATAGGGAACCGTCAATACCGATGATAACTGCGCCTCTGAAGGTGTCGACCTTCTTGATAGCACTTGCACCGCTTCATCCAAAGGGTAAAGAGGATATTAGATATAAAACAGCTACATTAAATTAAGCTAACACTTGAACAGTTCTATCAACGTTACCGCAGACACTATTCTCTGTTTTGCGTACCCGTATGTTAACCCTATTACCTATTGGCACTGGCCACGATACTAATACAATTTACTATCTAGGGACTCCGAGTGCAAGACCAGCACTACCACCCCAGATGGTGTTTATTTGGAGAAGGGATGTAATGTGGATGAAAAGCTCTCGGAAGACGATGTCTCTCTTCTCTGCTATGCCTGAATTTCCGAGTCGGCCTAAGACGACAATGTAAGGTGGGTCTTCATGGGAAGGTTCAACGCGGTAACCATTGAGTATTACGTCTGGAAGATTCCATCATTAGTTCGTCCCTGGAAAGCATATGGAGATAACAGTCATTTACCTACATCGTCGTCAACAGATAATTTATAAATATTCGTGCCATTATACTTTAATGTCCAACTTTATAGATGTAGAGTACCTTTCACCATCGTATTGAATCGTGAGAATATAAACCTAGAATAGGGAATGGCCTGTATCGCCTCCATAAAAGGCACGGTGTAATAATTGGGTGGCAAGAACGATATATCTGCTTTTGGTTCAAGTTAATTGGCGGTGCTCTCAACTCAGTCAAAGGTTGTAACACAAGGATATTTGAGTTCGGTGCCGTGCCTGGAGGTGTCTGTGCTGTAAGTTTAAATGAGAAGCTTGATATTAACATTCCATGCCCCTGGGCCCTATCAAAAGTTTAACTAATGATCAAATGGCCAGAGTGATTCAAACACTTCCGAGTCCCAGCCCGGATACGTCTTAAATTCTTCGATGATCTCGCCCTTTATTTGCCGAAGTGCTTCTTTCGTTTCCTCGTAGTTCTCATGTTCCACCACGCCTTTCTCAGGCCATAGATTGCTGAGTCGCTGCTCAATCATCTTCATAGTCCGAACACCGAACTCTGCTCGTTCCACATCTGCTTCAATAAAACTAACCTCTGCCTCAGTGAACTTCAGCGGGAAGCCTGGAGCCCCTGAATTCGTCTATTCGTCCCGTAGATCCAACAACAGGGCAAGGAAGTGTGGTTCTCCAACTTCGAATATTCGCCGTGAAAGGTGAAGAAGGTCGCCTGTCGCTGATTGCTGGAATTAGATGGCCCGGTGCTGAGATGGGTTCTTGTCTCGTACAAGACGGCGCCATCCAGTAATGATTACTTTGTCAAGGTATTGTGCTACTGCCGCCTCCTTCTCTTCACCGTTGAGAGACTTAATTTCAGCAGGCAGCTCGGGCTTTTCTAAATCACCACCTATATCAGGGCCTTCATATTCGAGGAATGAAGGGTCCATACAATGATCGGTTAATGGTGCAATATGGGAGGACTGCCAGTCAATGATCCCTTGTATTTCAAGACTGTCCGGATCAACAAATATATTCTCATCGTGCAAATCATTATGCCAAAGATGCCCGGTCGTGAGTGAAGGATCGTTGGGTGTCAGTAGTTGTTGGATCTGTGAATAGTACTGTAGCGCTTTGAGTTTCTTTTCTGCGGAAGGTTTATATAGTGGTTTTGGCCCATAGAGCATTGCTAGTTGCTTAGGCACGCGCGTAAGCGCCTTTACAGCCATCATCTCGCGGTCACAAATTGCTTTTCGGTACTTGGTAACAGATCCCCCTATCATTACATTAGTCACAGAGCAATGATACTGTATAGTCAGAGGTAGCTATTACATGGACCTCTGTTGCACTCCAGTCCATCCCGACCCGCATCACTCCATTCACGATTGGTACTAGGGCCAACAGTAAACCGATTATTAACGACAGATTTTCCGTTCTCAAAGTAAAGAGGCTCGTTGGATGCCACGTGTATATTCTCGGTATAATATAGGCTTCCGATCTTGCTAAAACTCACGCTTGTCCACCTTCTCATATACCGTGCAACTTGGGAAAAAATTTGAGTTTCTGTTTAAGCTGTAGATTCCACCAAATCTGAGATAGCGGAACACGAGAAACCTTTTCCATGATGATGTACTCGGCTCCAACGGGGTTGATTTCGACTTCGGCAGATGCATTCCATGCATACACTTGTGGAACAGGAGTCTGAAGCACTTCCCGGGCAAAATCCATACTTGCAACTTCACTGGCGGTAGTATAGTAAGGTATTCCAGCGTTTAGGTTGGGCAGTTTTGCAATAACCTCCTTGCCGTTGTCCATTGAGAGGATGAATGCCTTGTTATAAAGACCATCGGGGCATCTTTGGATATTAATGCATCTCGTTGCGCCTACTGAGTTCGCCGCAGCTGAAGTGAGCGCATGCATGTCGAATCCGAGACGACGCTTGATCATTTGCTCATTTTCATCGAAGATGAATCGTCCACGGACATATTCAGAAAGCTCCTTATTATGAACTGACTTTGCCGTCAATAATGGACTCTCGTTCGTGAGAGAGCCGTTTCCTTCTGTAGAATATAGCTTAAAATGAGCCCTGGCAAGACGAAAGATTTGCAAAACAGGCCGGTTCATATTTCCCTAAACAGCGCTGTTTACTCCCACAGAAAGAGAGATGAAGTGTCCTTTGTAGAACAACTTGATGTTCTTTGCCTGGGACGGAAATGCCAAGAAAAGCCCCATCTTTTCGTAACTAGATATTTACCCCTGAAACGATAACCGAATATTACACTTAAAGCGTACTCCATACCCCTGCTCTACCCGTAGCTCTTGGAGATTTTTTTTTGGTTCTCTTTTCTCAAAAACCATCTCTGACTACTCCATTTGCCCTTTCTGTGGCCAGTCGCTCATTGTTAATTTTCCACCACCAATCATGGGTTTCATCTACCACAGGGTCTTCTTTGTTCTGCTCTTTTCCCCAACTTCCCATGTCTTCTTCGTCCCAGGGTTTTGAGCTTAGTATATAATGCACGTTTTTCACTTTATTATCCTTCCAAATTTGTGAATGGACACCTGGCCACCTCATGGGTTTCAGGGCATTGTATATATACGGAAGAGGAGCCCAGCGATTATGGTAAATGTCCGAAAGCAACAACTGGTCCGCAAAAGCATATTGCCTGGTTGCTGTAGGATCCTCAAGCTGACAGAGAATGGCATTGTATATCTCCTCTGATGGATTAAGCACAAGAAGACCTCCGTTAAGCATTGATGCTCCTCTCACGCTAAGGGGGCCTTGGACTTGTGCTTTACTGGGGTTGTCGTGTTGGCCGCTATAGGCACAGTTCCTCGGAATCCTGATGGAATCAGGATAAGTAATTATGTTCAATCCAGGGGGTGTTAACATACCAATCACCGGGGTAATGTGGCTTATTCATAGGGTTACAAGTGCAGGCATGGCATGCGGCAAACACTTTTTGGCCCTGGCCTCCTAAAGCAGTATCATCTAGCTCAAGGTCCATCAACTCATCCATATTCTGAAGAACTAGCATATCGCTGTCCAACTGTATAATACGGTCATACTCAACCAGCGAGAAAGATGCTAGCTTGCTCCAACAGTCGTAGAAACGAGCGTCATTGCTATAGTCCTTATGGACCGGGGTGAAGGAAGGGTATATGCCGTGTAGGAATACGCCTAGCCTGTAAAATACTGAGACCTTCAGAGGGCAAGCTATCCGTATAAAGAGCTACGAGGGGATACTTTGTCCCCGACCTCTTGAGGGAATAGTCTAACGTCAGAAGACCCGTTATGTAGCTAAGATTAGTCACCAACGCAGTCCAAGCTGCCAAGGCGAAGAATTGTCACTTAACGGTCCAAGTTTCGAATAGTGGCGAGAAACTTGCCTTTTGTGTTTTCTGCTTGTATTTCTCCGGCGGAGTTCATATAGGAATAGACCCTGTGTTTCCAAGCTATTTATATCTTTAGGTGGCATGTCACTTTTCCGGAGGATATAGATCTGGACTGGTTGGCCCCGGCCCTGTATCCTTGTATATTTAAAAATGGGCTGCAGTAGTGGAAACTCAAAACCGCACCAACCAAGGTTCTGATTGACATCAACGAGTCTAGGCAATGCACGGTTTATGTTGTCGACTGAGTGCCTCTTATGCAGCTCGCGGCTCCTATAGCTTTGCTATTGCAGTATAGAGGTTGTAATGTGTTATTCTTTCATTGTGTGATGTTGAAATAAGAAACAGAAAGTGGGTCCTTTTCTTAGCTCAGCACTGATTTCAAGATAAGATAAGATTACAATCACGTGAAAAGCGCATGGTTCGTGTCACTTACATAAGCCGCGTATACATTACATAAGCAGATCATGTGCTTTTCTTTACCTTTAAGCGCGTCTTTTTCTCAACGTCGAACTTTCAAGACGTTCAATCTGTATACAAAACATCCCATGGAGATATCTCGTTGAGGGGCATTGCTGTGTCTGTTGCGTTGTTGGAGGGCTGCAAACCGCAGTCTGACGTCGTGTGGTGTTTTGCCTAGTCATTCGCGCGGTATTACCGTCACGGTTTGTCCGTCCAGCCACCGAACGCGTCGCCTCCACCGTGTATACGTTTAATGACAGGCATCCTCCGGAGACCCTGACCGTGACCTTTTTCCCACACAATCCTTTTTTACTCCTTTTCTGGTCTCGCGACTCGAGGCGGCTCTGTTCTGACCACCGGCCACCACGAAAATTCAAATACTCCCTCTGCTCTGCCCACTCCATCACACTTCCCTCGTTGCCGCCGTGTCTAGTTTTTGTGTAATAAATCAAATACTTGATATCGCCTTTTGTCTCCACCATATGAGCGAGAGAGAGCCCATATTCTTATGAACGGTCCACGTCAGTGAAGGTATCCAGAGCCGGTTTTGCAGCTGGTAGGAGCTGACTCCTTTCTTACTGTCAGCATGGACTCGTCTCCTCCGAGGAAGATCCCTCAGGGACAGTCTGCCGCAGGCGTGAAGCGTGCTGCATTATTGCCGCCGTTTGAACCATGCTCCTCTCCGCCGCTCCCTCGACCAGCAAAGCGGAGAGTTCTCAAGGGCGAAGACTCGTTCTCGACGGCACAATTCAAGCAGCACCGAAGCCAACAGCGTTCTAAGCTCGTCATGTGGGTGGTCCAACAGCTG